AACTGATAGAGAAGCTGCTGCCGAGGAATTGGTCTGTTCCTGGATGGAACTGACCACGTGCTTAGAGAGAGGCCTGTGGAATTGAATTGCCAGAGAAATATGGGAGAATTTGGGACTCTTAGTCACTTCTAAGCAGAATTTAGGAATTCTGAAGAAAAACTGGAAGAGCAGAAAATGCTGAGAGAAATTCAGAAGATGGAGGATCAACTTCTGGGGTTTCAGAAGGAAATGAGAACCTTGTTGGGGGCTGGGTAGAGGATGTAGTGTTACACTCTGTCAAGAAGCAGGTTTGATTCTGCAGAAGTACTGAGAGAGTGGGTAGCCGCATTAAAAAATAATGCACTAGTTTGTTGGGCAGCGGAGATTTCTAGACAGTAGGTAGCGTTCTGGCTGTGTCATGGTTACCATTTGCTGCTCTTAGCCAGGTCTGTAGTAAGAGAGTGCAGCAAACAGAGCAGAAAGTCATGGGAAATGTACGATTTAACTAGGAAAGGGTTGTAAAAAAAAATTCCAAAGTTGTAGACTGGGAAGGTGTGGAGAAAGTAGCTGAATTGTTAAAGAAATGAACATCATTAAAGAGAATTGGCAAGCTCTTCTTGTAAAAACAATGGAGTCGGTAGGAAATGTGCACTGAGTGCAGGATGCCACTCATCAAAGGCTGAATCTGTGACAATGAAAGTTCATTTGAAAGCAAAGAATGCTGCCTAAGGGGTTCCCTGTGGAATAGAAACTGCTTAGGAATTATTTTCTCACATTGATTCTAGAGGGCCACCACAGCTCTGCTCCAAGGGAACCAGGCTACATTTCCAACAGAACTTGGCAGTGCTGTCCATGTGGTACTGGTTTTCCAGATATGAGAGATGAAAAAGTACGGGGTCATAGAAGCGTGAATCAGAGTTCCCCAAAGCCACTAAGGACAGGCAGTATGTGCCAGTCGGATTCCAGGTGCTGAATCCTTATGATGAGCTATGAAGTGACACTCATGTGACAAGAGAAGCCCCAGGGTGTTAGAGAGGGCTGGGCCATGGGCCATGCACTGAGGAAGGCTGCAGGGTGGAAGCAGGCGGCAGGGCTTCCCAGTGCTGGATTCTGCAGATCCCAGAGGACAGCTATGTAGCCACAGGACTGCCCTTTTAGTCTTCAGTCCTGTCTTTGTACCTTTTCTGGTCCTCTCACTTCTCGTAAGAACATGAATGTTTATTCTGTGTCATTTTATATTGGAATCATACAACGTTAATTTTCATTTCACCTTTTCTTTTCTTTTCTTTTCTTTTGTTTTCTTTTCTTTTGTTTTCTTTCTTTTCTGGTCTGTCTATGAATAACATTTAAGAAATTGCATTGAATCAGAAATACTTCCAATGTTTGAACAGCACTGAAAATGTTTGACTCAGGAGACCCTTACAGATAGAATAAATGCATTTTGGATTATGAGATGAAAATCACACTTTAGGTGTTGGGATAGAATGTTATAATTTAAAGTGATGTGTTGGGTGTCAAGTTAATGGAGGGGGCATAATCTTTATTGTCTGCCAGACCAGATGTTTAGTCATCCTGGAAACCCTGTGTACTATGACTGTGTGTTATTTCCAGAAAGGCTTAAGTGAGGGAAGACTAACCTGTGAATGTGTATGGCACCATCCTGTAGGCTAAGATTCTAGATTGAATATAAATGAAGTATCAAAAAGCAAAAAGCAAGCTAAAGCCAGGTGATGGTGGTGCATGCCATTAATCCTGGGACTCAGGAGGCGGAAGCAGGCGGATCTCTGTGAGTTCGAGGCCAGCCTGGTCTACAAGAGCTAGTTCCAGGACAGACCCCAAAGCTACAGGAAAACCCTGCCTTGAAAAACAAAAAATAAAACAAAAGACCAAAACAAAGCAAAAATGAAATAGAACTTTAAAATAAGAGGTCTTTTTAGCCTTTTCTAAGTACTGTCTTAGCCCCCTGCTAGTGTTCTGAAAATGCCTATATGGCTGCCTGCTTGTGAACCTCCATTATATGAAGGTAACCACCTGCAGTTTTCTCTGGCTGCTATTAAAATGGGCAGACAGGGCATTCCCTTTATATTTTAAAATACTGTAATAGCAAAGTGGGTGCTTTCAACCTCATGCTTACTTATTTCAAACAGTGTTTTCTAAAACAAAAACCAAGTACAGTGAAAATATTTAAACCATTCTGTAAAGTGCTCTAGTGACATTTGGTTTGAATCTTTATTTAAAAACCAGTTTCCCCATTTTGTTCATATTTAGTGGAAATCATCTTAGTTTAAGGTTGTGCTTTAAGAAGAGTATAGGGAAGAATTCATTTTTTTCTTGCCACAGAAGTTCCAATAGAAGTAGTGGAGGTACTGCCAGGATATGTCTGTTTCCATAAAACAAGCAGAACAAATTCCATGAATCAAAGCCACTAAGTATAGTTTTCAGAGATGGTAGGACATAGTTACTTTCCCTAGAAAAATATCCCAAATGTAGGCACACCCATTAGCCACAGAAAAATGTTCGAATAAATGCTACTTCAAACCTGTACACTTCCCTTTTATGGAACTATTAAAGGGATAGTAATCCACTATAGCTATAATTTTTTTCAATTTGTTTTTCTATTTTCGGCCTCCCACATGCTTTGTTTTTAGATTTGCTCCCTGAGTCTCATTCTACAGCACCACCTATGCGAGCTGCCTCCACAGTGACTGATGGCTTGTAGATAAACTTGTGATACAAACCCATGTGAAGCATTGTAGAATAAACATGAGGCATGCTTTTCATTAATCATAGAAAAAGGCACAATGATGTAGACCTAGAAAGCAGGTTATTTTAAAGTGCTTTTTACCTATATTCCATGAAACCTTTGGTATAGTCTTTCAAAAATTCTTTTCATTCATCTCTCAAATATTTTTAAGGTTTTTTTTAAATCATCACTTGAAAGATTAATCGATTGCCTCTATTAAATGTGTGTGAGAACACATTGATACTGTGTTAGAAAAGCAGGAGAGAGATCCCCATCGCTAGCGTAAGAACACAGCTCTCAATAGCCGAGTCCTAAGTTTATGAAATACCAGCTGCTGATGAGAAATGGATTGGATTTCAAACTCACCTGCACATTCAATTTTCCTTTCTGTCCTTGATAGGAGGCCTCGACTGAAAATAACAGAATTTAAAACTCTTGCATATTTTTAGTGATACACATTTTTGTTAGATAGTGATTTATACATTTAAAGGTAATAAATATTTATTTTATAATCTGCTGTTCCTCGTGTAATCTAATTTCATCTTCATAACATGCCTCTGAGGTTGGAACCGTTATCTTAATTTTATAAATGAGTCTTTCAAAGTCAGGTAACTTATCAATATTATACAGCTAGAAAATAAACAGAATCAAGCTTGTCTCTTTCTGTTAAATACTGCATATTATTTTGCTTGTAAGTGAATTAATCTCTTTTCTCCCCCTCACTTTATTTCATTGGGTACCTTAACAAATAATAAATTAAATGAAAAATTAATTGATAACACTGTGATGGGATTTCATGATAACTTAAAAACTCAACCATTAGTATTCATTAGTATTTTATTATTTATATTTGTTTTATTAATATTTATTTAATAGTTTTCTTGTTTGATTATAGTGGTAGAAACTTTTTTTTTTTTTCAAGACAGAGTTTCTTTGTGGCTTTGGAGCCTGTCCTGGCACTAGCTCTGTAGACTAGGCTGGTCTCGAACTCACAGAGATCCACCTGCCTCTGCCTCCCGAATGCTGGGATTAAAGGCGTGCGCCACCACCACCTGGCGAAACTTTTCTGGCTCACAGACATACACTTAACACAATTTTTTGGTGATTCAGAAGAAGGTAGGATATTGAACATAGGCAGTAGGAAATTAATTGATTAAAATATGTATAGTGTGACTCAAGAAATTATGTCTAATGTTTTACTGCTAGAAATTTGACTTTTAGATATAAATGCATTTCCTTTTACAATGGATTTTTTGGGAGAAGTGATAAGTGGTAGGCTTAATGAAGTAACAGGAGTATTATAGTACCTGATAGTTACTGAACAGGAAAGAGCCTTAAGAATGAAGCAGGGTCATCATTACTTCAAGGCGGGGCTTCTCTACGTAATTAGGTCCCGTTTTAGAGAAGTAAAAGCTCTTAGGTGACTAGTTTAAAGGCCATCTGAGAAAGTCTTAGGTCAAGCACTATCAAAGTTCATTGAGTCAGGTTCAGCACTGAACCAGCAAAAATGTGAGAGAAATAGAAAAGGATTTTATGCTTCTGAGTAGGACAACAAATTAGAAGTAAACATAAGGCCTTGTTGTGATGAGGTGAGCAGGCCTGCTTTTCATCCTGCCTGGCTCCCGCATGGCTAGCTTTACACCCGAAATAACAACATACAAATTGTATTCATTTAAACACTGCCTGGCCCATTAGTTTCAGCCTCTTATTGGCTAATTCTCACATCTGACTTTAACCCATATGTGTAGCACCATGAGGTGGTGGCTCAACGGGAAAGATTCAGCATGTCTGACCTGGCCTCACTTCCCTTCCTCACAGCATTCTGCTCTGTTTACTCCACCCACCTATGTTCTGACCTATCAGGCCAAGCAGTTTTCTTTATTAATTAATCAATGAAACAACAGATAGAAGACCCTCCTACATCATTGCCTGAGGAAAACAGAAATAATGAAAATAGAGGCATCTATTTCTTTTAATATAAATATCATAACTATATCAATTCATGAGATCATCCCATAAGAATTATTTTTTTTGTTGTTTTTTTAAGGGAGAGCTTATTTTTGTTGTTTTGGTTGTAAGCCTCTATGGCTGATCTGTCTCTCAAGCCTTGAGTGTGTTTATTTTTTAAAAATTATACATAAAATGCTATGTGTTTTTTCAGGTTTTAATTTAAGTGTGCTTTTATTAGAATTATATGTATATATTTGAAAAAATATATATGTGTGTGTATTTTTGTGTGTATATTTATAATTTATATATAATTTATTTTTGTTTTAAGTCTGAAGGATTGGACAGGCCAATGAGTATTCTCATCATTGAGGCATTTTACGGAGGCTCCCATCAACAGCTGGTAGACCTGCTCCAGGAAGAATTAGACAGTTGTGTCCTCTACACCCTTCCTGCAAAGAAATGGCATTGGAGAGCACGGACAGCAGCTTTATCCTTCTCACAGAGTATTCCCAGCAGCGAGCACTACAGGTAATGGGGCTCTATTTTGCTTTTTAAGTACTATCAGAGTGTTTCTTCGTGTCTTCTAGAATTTCTCTGACTGTAGAATTAGAAGATAGAAAGAACTTTATAAAACACAGAAAATTTTGAGAAGAAAGTAGTGATTACATTTTTGGGGGAGAGCATGTAATGTGGAATACCTTGGAGGTATCTTTATTTTTGTTTTCTTTTTTGTACATGTGTACAGTATGCTGTGCTTACATTCTCCTCTTCCTAGTCCCCTGTCTCTTACATTTTTCTTGATTGTTAAATAGTGGAAAGCTATCTGAAAGTGGCGCCTGTATCTAGTGTTCTTACTATGCTGGACTCCTGTCTGTAGGATTATATTGGTTTAGTTTTGGTGACAAGTGCCTGGGTGATATGAATGGAGCTGAGCAGATAGGTTGTTGTAGAAAGGGACTTTATATTTTTTATGAAATGAGTTACTCACTTATTGAAGGATCAGACATCTCTTTTTTTCTTGGAATGTGCCCTAGACTAACATCAAGGAAATTTCATTCATTTTTCTTTTGTTGTATTGTGACAGAATTGACGTTATTATTGTGATTTAAAGTCTTGTTTTCACCCCCTCACATGGTTGAAATTCTGTTTGTTGATCTGTGTTAGCTAATGTGGCAATGACTGATTGTTGCTGCTTCCTTATCAACAGAATCACACTTTTATTTGGGATGGCTAAAAATCAAGCAGGCTCAAGGAATAGAGCATTTTTGACCCAAAGTTTTCATGATGATCTCAATCTCTTTTGTCTACTGTCCTGATTGTTTTTTGCAGTTAGGGTTGGTCAATTCCTGTATCATAATTATTGTGGGACAATAGAGGGTTAGGTTAGAGCAGTACAATTAAAGTACATAATGTAAATTGGAGAAAATGTCATAATGGAGACTATTCAATTAAGATACGCAAATGACAGGGGCTGGAGAGATGGCTTAGTGGGTAAAAGCACTGTCTGCTCTTTCAGAGGACCTGGATTCAGTTTCCATTACCTATGTCTTCAAACAGACATACATGCAGGCAAAACACATAACATAATTTAATAAAATAAAAATTTTAAAATAGAAAAAAGATATGCTAATGTCTACAAAATATAACATAAATACAACTTAAAGGGACAGCTAGTGTTCTTTCCTCTCTTTCCTTTTCTCCTTTCTCTGAAAGGGTATTGAAATCGCTCACTGTAATTGTGGTTTTGTCTATTTTTTTCAAAACTGTTCTTCATTTTGGCTTTTTGTTTACTTATATGTTGAAACATGAACATAGCACCTACTAATATGGTAGCATAATGTTTGATAAATGTCTCATTTGCTGTTGTATTAGTTATTTTTCTACTCACTATGATCAGTTGCATGGCAGAAAGCAGTGTCAGAAAGGAAGGGTTAATCTAGTTTCAGAGAAGAACAGACCAACATGGCATAACATAGTAGCTGGATTGGTGGTTGGGACCCTGGTACTAAACAGGAATCAGAGATGGAGCATCCCCAATTCTATTCTAGCTTTCTATTCTCATTGGATAATACCACCTTATTTAGGATGAGTCTTCCTTCCTCAGTTAACCCTGTTTGGAAATACCCCAAAATGTGCCTATTTAGTGCCTTTGACTCTCCCTCCCCCTCCCCCTCTCCCCCTCCCTCCCTCCCTCTCTCCCTCCCTCCCTCCCTCCCTCCCTCCCTCCCTCCCTCCCTCCCTCCCTCCCTTCCTTTCTGCTTTCTTGAGTGTTTTTTATTCTACTTATAGCCACAAGACTTAGGAACTAANGGGAATGGAAAGCCATTTTCTTCAGTGGCGTACTCATTGCTGAGGTTCCCTCGCTCCCATAAATAACCCTTCACCCATGCTCCTCTAAACAGCCTTGATTAAACTCATGGAGCCCCAAAAGAGGAGGCATTAAAGCAGAAGGGACCGGTCTAGAGGAGGAGGGGGATCCACGGGAATGGTAGGAGGGTGGGAGAGGGATACAGGAGTGAACGTGAGCAAACCAGTTACACATATGTGTTACACACATGTATGAAGACATCATAACCTTGTGGCTAGTCTTTATGTCAACTGACAGAGGTTTTTTTTTATGTTCATTCTTTTTATTTTGATGCCATAAATTGTTCACAACAAAATAAGAAAACTATTCAGGAATGGGAAAGAAAAGCAGGTAGGTTAATAAGTAAATAAGATAATTAGCTGCTACTTTGCAAACAAATTAATAAACAATTGAAATTAGGAGAAATAAATTTATCATTCTTTGTTATGAATCAGTATTTTAAACCCTGTGTTTTGATGACTGAATGATAATTTCTACAATACAGACTGCTCAAATGTTACTTCACTCATAGAAACATTACCTTAATCTCTTAATATTATCACAGTAGTATAGGGCTATTGCCTGGCTATTTTCTTTTCTTAATGCAGGTTTATTAATGTTATATTTTGAGCTATCGTTGTTATTTGTTGTAAATCTTTAGCAATAAAAAGCATGCACTTTCTAAAAGCCGCAATGTGTATTTAGAAGGACAGTATTTCTATTGTCTTCACAATTTTCTACTTCAGTCTTTTATTATTCACTAATCAGATCTTCTCATATCTGTCTGACAATAATGAGATTTGAGGGATAAATGAAAGCATACCAAAGAATCCCATTATATTATACCAGAGAGAAGTTTTCTTCATGACAAAGGGGTTTGTCGGTTCCTAAAGATATGTGACTTGCTCGAGTTGATAGGAAAATTGTTTAGTTTATTGCAATACTGCATGATAAGCAGTATTTAAGGAAAACAACAATGTTCTGTTCTGTTGTTGTAGAATTAATTTCTAGAAAAAAATGATGAAAATGTAGAAAATCTATAATGTCATTTAAAATCTATTTAATCCAACAAAGTTGGCAATGAAAATTATGTCATGATCTTTAAATTACATTAGATATATCTCTCTGTTTAAACCTTTCCCATTTCAGTGTGGTAGAAATATCAGAGTACTTTATTCTTGATTCGATATTAGGGCCCATAGTTCTCCTACATTACAGCACCATAACAGAACCTCTTCTTCTGAGAGCTTTCTCTATCCACTTATAAGACTTAACAGAGTGCAGAAAGCCACATGACATTACTGCTCGTCATTTTTGGTATAAAGTGGTCAAAGAATGAGACACTCGAAGGGCATTCTGGGGATTATTGTGGCAGAATTCGTTCACTAGCCATGATCCTTAGACCTTTCTTATTCCCTGGCCTGCTTCCTTTTGGTGATATATGCAAGTTGTTTGCTTCCATGGGCAGCTGCTCTACATGTGTACAGAAAGCTGGGAATAGAATTACATTTTCCTTTCAGATGAACTGTTTGTGAAGTATTCACAGGAACGAGCTTATGAACAGACATTCCTGAACAGCCTTTTCATTAGAATATGTGGAAGCATAATTGTGATTAACTCAGGTATCAAAAGGGAAAACATCAAACATACCCAAAAGTAGAACTGATTATAAAGAACTCTTCTGTGCCATGGTTTGAGTTGCATCCACATCCATACCACATTTTAAAGTTTTATTTTGTACCTGTTTTTAGTATACAGGGTCTTTCACACCTTGTGGTTGAAGAAAGAATCTCTCTTGGTCGTACTTAGATGTAAACTGGAAATGAAACAATAGCAACAATGGAAAATAGTGAAATTTAAAGTTTGTAGATGAACAGAAAGTAGTTGCTTGAAATACTGCAATGGATAGACTGCAGGCACATCAAAGGCACACATTTTTGAAATTAAAAATATATAGCTTGGGTTGATAAAAATGAGAAAATCTGTCTTAGTTAGGATTTCTGTAGCTGTAATGAAGCACCATGACCAAAAAGCAAGTTGAGGGTGAAAGGTTTTATTCAGCTTACACTTCCACATTGCAGTTTATCACTTAAGGAAGTGAGGCAGGAACCCAAGCAGGACAGGATCCTGGCAGGAGCTAAAGCAGAGGCCATGGAAAGGAGCTGCTTACTGGCTTCTTGCTCTGGCTTGCTCAGGCTTGCTCACTTTGCATTTTTATAGAACCCAGGACAGTGGCCCAGAGAGGGTGAGTGGCACCACACACCATTGGCAGGGCCCTCACCACCCATTGATAGTAATTGAGAAAATGCCTTACGACTGGTTCTCATGGAAGCATTTCCTCCTCAACTGAGGTTCCTTCTTCTGATGGCTCTAACTTGTGTCATGTTGATGCACAAAGCCAGACAGTACAATCCATGAATGCTTTTTATACATTTGAAAATAGGCAAAATGGGTGATTCTTAGAAAGCATAGCCTACAAAACTGTCCTCAGTGTAGAGCTGACAGTGTGACTGAGGCGGTGTCCTGAGACAAGATATATTGACTGAACTTTTGTCCCCTGCCTCTTATCAAATAAACATTTGGTGAGTTCAGGCGCCTAGTGATACAGATTGTAAATGTTAATACATGTTGTGATTACGATATCTTACCACCACATGAGCATTATTTTATGTTTTTTTTTTTAAATTTTTATGTTTGCGTATGTATAATGTGTACCTGTGTGTACAAATTTCTGTATGAAGGTGCTCATGTGGGACAACAGCCATGTAGAGGACAACCTTGACTGCCACTTCTTGCCTTCAACCTTGTTTGAGGGAGGGTTTCTGTTGTTTCTCTTCTGCTGGGTACACCAGGCTAACTGATCATCGAGCCTCCAGGGCATTTTACGCTCTCTGCCTCCCTTACTATCTGGATTTGCAGACACATTCCAATGTATCTGGCATTTTTTCATGGTTCAGGGAATTGAACTCAGGTTGTCAAGATTGTGTTGTAAGTGTTTTACCTGCAGACCCCTCTCCCTGTTCACACATGAGCTTTTTAAAATGTCTGTAGTGGATAGGAAAATGTAATGAGGATTTTTTTCTAAAAATACAATGAGAGACTGCATTTTGCATGTTCTTTATTTATAGAGTAGATGATGGAACACAAAAATATTATTTGTTTAGAGTCCTAATAACACTTT